CGATCTATGAACGCGTGTCTCCACTCAATCAACAATTTAGTAAATTAAATAAAAATGGTAACTGAAGTTTGTAAATACACAAACATACCTTTAAAGAGTGAGACACAATAATTTGACACACTCAAACACATTTCTCAACAAAACATGTACATCGAAACGTCAATTTTTTTGCAAATTTGTAGGAATGAATATCACGGATGCTCATCCGCGTCTGGTAGGTACTCAATTGTTTTCTAGGTGATGAATGTTAAGCGGAGCGCGATGGTGGTGATCGCGGATTTCATGTTGTGACTTGTCGAAACTTGTATAAGCTGCGATTGACGACGCCGTGTTTTGAAACTGCAGTTGACAGAATAAGTGAATATGATATTTAATTTCTAACTTTATGCGTGTAAATTAAACATTATATTGTAATGCTATTTGTTAATGTTGTTTATTTTTTTTTTGTTTTTTTCTCTCTATAATGCAAACGCTTTCCGCCCCCCTTGACATCTCTCTATGCCCCCTTGGGAGGCACACCCCCCTGGTTGTGAAATCCTGATCTGAAAGGTGCTCAAAAAAGTTAAATCCCATTTAAAGGTATCTGTTTTTAACAAGATCGGATTAAGATGGATGTTAAGAGACCCCACCCCCAGACACCCAAGTCTTTCAATTTTTTTTCAAGAAAATGGTATATATATTGATGTATCATTGTGTAAAAAGTGTCTTGTTAAATCTGGATCGCGCTACCCGTCCCTAGACATATCCCCCCCCCCCCGAATTTCGAGTCACAAGCATCTTCCTAAACATGAATGCTGAGACCACAGCTGCACCCCCAATGCAGGTTCCTAAATCCGCTCTTGGTTTATAAAAAACACTTTATAGGGGCATAAGCAGCCTTTAATGAGCCATTTTTTTGCAATACATATTTCGCTATATATGTTCTGTCCACATTTGTCAGTATAATACACACGTCTCAGTTATGGAAATTTCTGTATATACTTTTAAATGAATTTTTAAAACTACAGTGCCAACGACGCTGATTTAAATACTACATTTTTGGCGCGTTTCGAAATGACGTCAAAACTCACGATTTAGAATTTAATTGTATTTCTAGTTGATGTGCTGTTGAGTTTCCAAAGGTTCTATTTAACATCATCAGGTTTTTATTAAAATAAAGTATGGATGAGTAACGGAACTATCCAGAAAGCTCCAGTAATTCATATTATTGTGAAGACGATTTTAACTTTGTACAAAACACAGAACTACCATTTTGCCCAAATATGATTAGTTTTTATTTACCTTACAGTAAAAGGATTTTTATCGTTTTCCATTTGCCGTTTAAATGAGGTAGAATAACACTATAAACCACCATTTAGACATTGTTGATTGCATTCAGGGAGCTGTAACTCACAAACTAAGTCCGCGTGTGGTCTAAAGTTATGTTTTTTCAAAATGATCAAACATCAAACTGACAGCTGGATACCTAATGATAGTGAAGACAAAGGCCTGCCAAATCAGACTGACTAGTAAACAATCGGTTTGGTTTGGTCAGATGTCGAAAAGTGACGTCACACCAATAGCGTGGTGGTTCGCTATTTCAAAACCTCGTAATTTATATATCTCTTTATTAGTCAATACTCGTGCTTTTATAGCTCTCAAGTATAAAATAAGGTTGAAGGTGTAATTCTGTAACGATATATACTGTAAATAAAAATAGTTAACCGATATTCGTGTCACAGCATATTCCCTATTATAGCCCAGGCATCATGGATAGAATAACAAGCATCACGCAGGTTTTTATCTCCGTTTGTTGGAAAAAAATTGCTTCTTGTTCATATGTAAAGTTTAAGTTTTTGATTTTGAGTGAAACGAGCAATTGACGGCTAAGCATTTATTTAAAAACCTGAGCTTTTTGTTAAATATTAGTGGCAATTTAAACTTAAAATAATTTTCAAACGGAGTCGAATTGAACTTTTTGTTTTCTTAAATACCAGATCCTGATTTTAAATTTTCTCAAGTTGAAATCCCTTCATTGGTTACAAAATATTCAAAGTAGGAGTGAAGAAGTAATTTACTTGACATAGCTGTTTCCTCCAGCCTAATCCTTTGTTTTCATGTCATGAACATATAACGGCGAAAATATCTCGTTTAACTAATCCATATTGGAAATATGTATGTAAGCATTAAGTCATCAGCAATAAGGAAGTCAAAATCCCATTACTTTAATAACAATGTTGAAAATAAGAACGACGACGTTAATATATTATGCATAGGAAATATTTTATGTATAATAAAAGAAACGTGACAGGGATTATATTTATTAAAATATCTACAAGGAGTGGTGCTAAATGCTAATACCACGTTTCTTCAAACGTTTTGGCATTATAATTATAATAAGATGGGCAATAGTGTAGCATTTTAGGTATACAAAAGACTCTCTTTGAGCGCCTATCCCACGATATTTAAAGTTCAGGGTTTTGGGTTTCTCAATGCGATGTTACATTTACACGATGTTGGATCTTCGATCTCATCTGGTTAATTATTGACGTGCCCTTTACAGATATCTATAATATTCTCACAGTGTTTATGTATTTGAGCATCGAATTGAATCATCCGTGCTTATCGGGAATTAAAATCTAATAAGACGTGCTTTCCGATTATTTAGTTTGCGCTGCTTCAATATCTCGGCGAAAATCCAATTTGTTAGAAATAATACTCAGTGGGGTGATTCCTTAATTGATTCTATTAATATCTAAATAATTTCTTTATAAATTGCAGGGTCTATCTAATATTTTTTAGAAACTGTTTTCTATTATAAAAGTATACAGTGCTAAAAGAACTTATTTTTTGAATGAGTCAGGTGAGCAGGTTGAAATTTGGGAAGGTGAAATTGACGCTATATTTCAAACTACAAATAGTGGTCAAAAATGATGTAAAAAGGAATAGGGGTCATATGATACCCTACGCAAAATGTAAAATCACTGTACTTCAGAAGGGAGTTGTCAGCGTTTTTTGTAAACTTCATCCCAAGTCAAAAGCCATTTACCAAAACGTCCTAATCAATTACATCAACATTCTGCTTTTGGAAGGCTCTATCAGAACTAGCAACACAACATGGAGCATTCAATTAACAAACAAAAAAATGATTTTGACAATTTTTTAAGAGGAATACGGATTTTACATTCTAGGATTATAAGGTATAAGCAGCTTCAGGATGAGGTATCACAGGACCCTCATTCTATTTAGAAAATATTTCAAAATGGTGCTCAAACGCTTTTGAAAATTTTAACTGCCACTGCCAATATCCATGCACCAACTTGCAAGGCCTAATTTCAGCTTGCTAACTGACCCGTACAGAAATAAGTAGGATTTTAGTTAATGACAGAATTTCATTAAAATAACTATGTACTCCATCAAAGAAAACTATTCTGAGAGGTGTTTCGCTCAGAAGGGAACTCGCAGATGATAAAAGCTCCTATGTTGTACAAACCTACAAAATAAAAAATTCAAGGCAGCGTTTAGCTGCGGTTTTCAAAATTGGCTATTCTTCTTATGTCTCTATCGTGTACAATGCTGGAATGTCTAACATCAATGTCTTGTCATAATATGATTGATATCAAGAGAAAACAATATCCATAACTAAGAAAAAAATCTTGGCATAACTTGTTAGTCTATTAAAAAAATATGAATCTTAAACATACCCGGAAATGACATTTAGCAAATGATGGAAATTTCAAAACACCAACATAGCCTTAGTCCAAAATTTTTAGTTACTCCGATTCTCTAATTTATTTACACTTCTCCTTTCATTGAAATTTTGTAACTCTGCATACGTCTTTTTAAAAGTACTGTTCACCATTTTAAGTGCTTACTGCGGCAAATTATGAAGGGTTTCCCTTCTGCGGGATTATTTTATTTATTTACAGATCGTTTATTCCAATTCCTTGATATGTAATTTTTGGCATGTATGCGGGTGTAGTTATGGTAGTCAATATTGAAATTGGTAATAGCGGGGGTCAAATCAAGTCAAAAAGTTCATATGACCCATGGTCCAAAAGTCAATAGATTTTTGTCTAAACGGCTTTATAATTTACAACTTTAAATGCTTTATATCGACCACAATCACCACAATCTAACTATTTTTTATAATCTAATCTAAAACGTTTATAAATTAGGTAATTAACAATTAAATGGAATTAAGTAATTCTAAGTTAAGCCAAAATTTGTAGTCAGTAAGTAAGTTTCATTGAATTAAATATTTAAAACACACATGACAACAGCGCGTCGGTCTTTCTTCACTCTTATCGAACTGGCAATCGATCGCAAACGGTAACAGTGGTTAGTTATCGCTTTGGATAGGTAAATTACTTTATCGTTTTGTCGAGCAGAACATCGGATGTGTTGTTTTGTTTTTGTTCGCATACGTCGTCGTGTTTCTTTACAATGTCCTCGAATCAAGTTTTTTTAATTGTTTGCATTTTACGAGTATATTATCAAACAATGAAATAATACCTAAGAGCCAAAAATAACAAACTCCATCTTTATTTACACTGCGTTCCGTCGTAGTTTGCGTCTGGCATTGCGGCGTTGTCAGATTTTATTTTACTTTAAAGTCGCTTTTCTCTAAAAAATACCGTTTTGACCCCCATGTTATATGAAAAAACTTTTTGCTTCCTTAAACCTCCTCTATCACCCATTTAAATAATGACTATCATAACGTTTACACCCTGTATATTCTGGCAAGTAGATCATCAATCTATCTAACTGTCTGTATATCTATCTAACTATCTATCTACGTGTCAATACAGTGACGAAGGTAGTCTTGAAAAAAAGTTTTGAAAACGGTTCACACTGTCAGCGGTAAATACGAATACGCTAATGTATTATGACTCGAAGATGTGGTGTGAAATATAAGCAATCTGACGCTAACATTAATCCGTACTTGAAAGACCAAAGGGATAAAAGAAAAGCCTCATACTAGACGCATTTGTGTATTTTGTATTTTCTTATATTTACAGGCAAAAAGGGGCGAAGCCTAGACAATGTTTGCCCAATAGGAGAGCCACTTAGAATAAGCGATACCGTAAGACCCTTTTTATGTGGGAATGAGCACAGTAAGCCTCAGTGTCCGCCACTTTACCAATGCTTAGTTCAGAAAGGTGAGAATAGCAATGACATAGATACTTATTACCAGTAGTTTTACTGAAAATACAGATACATCTCCCATTTTGTACAATTGAGTTTGCACTAACCTAAGGCCTGAAGAATCAACGATTGTAAATATGTAAGCTGCACATACTAAACGAACCTTCTACATTTTTTTTATATAGGGAACGATTATGGAGTTTGTTGTCCAGCATCCTTGAAAATCCAAAAGACAGGGACTTGTCCAGCAAAACTGGATCCAGCTGCACCTTGTGGTACTATGTGCTCTCATGACCTAGAATGTCCTTCTATTCAGAAGTGCTGTCATACTGAAGACTGTGGAATGAGCTGTATTCATCCAGAGAACATAACAGGTACGTTGGTGTGTGGCTTCTGATCACTTGTTGATATTTAGAATTGTTCATTTTTGTTCAGTTTTCATTTCGATCTGTATTGACTGCTTTCAGAGTGTTTCCATCAAAAAGCTTTATCTGAAGTCCTAGCAGTAAGTGAAAGAGCTGGAAGGGGATACGTCCCGCAATGTACTGGAGATGGTCAATTTGAACCTAAACAATGTAGCAGAAACGGTCTGGTTTGTTGGTGCGTGGACAGGTTGGGAAGGAAACTTAAAGGCTCAATGGGAGCCGCGGAGAACGTCAATTGTTCCATGGTTGAATGTAAGTAGAGCAAGGGCATATCAGGAAGATGTCATATATTTCAGTACGTCAGCTTGTATCCCGGACGCTAATGTAACGAGCGTTGAAGCTACGGCTAAGATAGTAAATATACGCAAAAGATTCGATAAATAATTCTTGCTAATGCCCAATGAATTCGGACTAGATAGAAAGAACAAGCCTACGATTTGTTTGTCGCCAAAAGTACGTGGTCAGTAGTCAGGATGCAAGCTCATACTACAAATCGGCCACCTGTTCGACAGTTTTTGACATTTCGCATTAAATTCGTGCTTTTCTGCGAAAACATATAAAAGTATGTGGGTTCCATACGATCCTAGTATTACAGACCATTGCCGAAAATGGTGAATGTTTTTTGGATCGCAGAAAGCAGTTTAAACTAAATAATAGCAAACCTTTTTATCCGAAAGTGGTACATATTATATTCATGGGCGTTGCGAAAGGGCATGAACTTTACATTGGGCTTTTACCTGGAAGGTTGTAAGGTAATTTTTCACTCCTTGTTTCATTTAGCACTCAGTCCTTATCCAAGATTTCTTAACAGAATTTTGTATACCTAAGAATGATATGGAAAAACATAAAAATTGGAGACAAAATTTTGTATTGGATATCATAAAGGGCTAACAGAATCTCTAATCTAACTAAACTAAAATCGTACTTTATCTACTTGAATCTTAAACTTCTCTCGAAATATACTTTTGCGTTATAAGTAATAATTTTACGATCCCAATTTAGCGCTATGAGATTCTATGAAGGACGTTCAAACCTTTTTATTGGATGACTACAGTAAAAATAGTATAATAGCAACTAGGTTGTCGGATCACGACAACTATTTAGAGAAACCGAGTAGTATTCATGTCAGGTCCCAATATTACCAATATGTATGCCGCCATAGTTACTGTTGATAGAGAGAGTGTTTTGTATTGTTTACCTTCCAAAATCACAAATTAAACAGAATTGTTCATATGCCGCACCGTTATCAAATATGTATTCACTTTCGTTTCTTTGCTTTATTTAATTTCTGTTTATCGACAATAACTGAGTGATTCACATCGCAATACAGTTAGTATTTCTGCCTTGGTCTACACCAAATACGAATAGATATCCTTTCCAGTTGAAATAATGTACGCCGCTGGATTGGCTTCACTTTGGTAGACAATGGTAGGTTAGCCAGAAGTATTCACTAAGTCCACAACTTTGGCGAAAAACAATGTAATGTAAACATATAGGTTTGGGTCCTTATATACTATTAAAATTCGTTTGTAATGTTAAATTGCTCTCCGATATTTTCTAAGCTTTGGGCTTTCAAGGTCATCAGATTGACATACACTGTCAAAATTTTTATTTCGAACTCGCCACTGTGTGGTAGGCTGGAAGTCAACCTACTCGACGAGTTTGAGTTATTGCTAATTATTACCTTATTCTTCCAGCTCGGTTTGTAACCGTTGCGAGATCCATAGACAAAAATACGATAAACTGTGAAGAAATGGAATGTGCCCAAGTCTGTGAATATGGCTTCAAGCTTGACGAAAACGGATGCCACACATGCAAGTGTGACGACCCTTGTGATGGATACAAATGTCCTGAAGACGAAGAATGTGTGAACGTCAAGGAGGCCAGCTGCACTGACTTTTTGTGTCCTTCACTTCCGGTCTGTGAGTACATGTTATGCTCAGTGGCACAGAAAATAGAACACTCAGTAAAATGAATCGAGTTTTAAATACAGTGAGACATAGGTAAGAGAATGTAATGATTGAATTTTGCAGTTAAAACATTAGCTGTGTTGCTGGATTCTCCTAGAATCGTGTTGTGCCACTCCGGTACCGTAATCTGTCCAGTGGTCAGAGCATGCTTCTGAAGATGTGGCTTATGTATCCTTGAGATATCTCATCCCAAGCTAACTGCACTTGGTTCCGAAAATCTGGCAGTGCTTGTGGCAGATGAGGGTCAAGAGGTCACTATTTTTCTCACCATATTCAACACATGTTCAATGGGTCAAAGATCTGTTAGGGTGATAAGGAAGGAATGAAGGAAGGTGACTTCACCATGATCAAGGCAGTTCATTGTAGTTTTAGCACTATAAGGGCGAACATTATCTTGTTATACAATGGGATTCTGAAGCGTTTGGAGAGATAGCAAAGAATGGATTACCAGTATTGGATATAATTTTGTGGCCTCATACTGCCACTACCCCCATTAAGTCTTTCCCAGCGTATTCTAGTGCGTGTTGTCTATCGTGACTTTCTAAATAAAACCGAGACCGAGGAATTTGGGAGGATAAATGGTCTAACATTATTTTTAGTGAAGAACCTTGCTTCTATCTAGAAACGCATGGTGGACGGTAACGAGTGAGGAGATGCTTCGGAGAAGGATGTAAAGTATGTTTTCACTTGAACGTCATATTGTGGGAGTCATGGTTTGAGGTGCCATTACATATGACCCTGAGTCACCTCCAGTTTTCGTCAGATATGGTATGACGGCAAAACAGCATATCGAGGAAGTACTGGAACCTCATCAATTCCCCCTAATACTTGATATCCCGATTTGGAACTAGGTAGTGCCCAACTCCATAATTTTAGATCCAGAATGAACTGCCTCAATAATGCCCAAGTCACATTTCTTGGCGTCTTAGATCCACAGACTTTGAATATGTCTGAGATGTGACAGGAAAGATAGTGAGCTCTCTACTCAATGCTTCCCAAACGCCAGCAGTTCTTCAGCCTGGTCCAGCGACTGAATGACTGTATACCGTAACGGGGTGATCCAGTACATTACTGAAGAAAACCAGCGACACGGCAAATTTTTGACTTCTAAATTTATTCATAACTTCCTATGTCTATATAAATATATGTTCCAATCAAATTATTTGTATTGTTGTTCTATTTTTCTTTCTTACATAACACTGGACAACAAATTTTAGTTTTTTAATTGTATCTTGTGGGAAAAGTGCACTTCTTTGTTAATTTTGGGGCGCTGAATCCAAAAATGACAATGAAATAAAAAAATTAGTTGCGGTTTAGAAAAAAACTTTTTATTTTTGAGGATATATTAAAAAAAGTAACAAGATTCATATACTTATAAGAATCACTATATGCGCTGTCTTTTTGCTGTTCTTTTATGGATCGTTTCTGGAGCATCTCTACCAAGAGTCCCACAGTAGTCTGCAAGCATGGAAGGATTCCACTTTCCCTGGTACCTTTTTTCCATTGTTGAAATATCCTGATGAAAACGTTTGCCGTGCCCATCACTTACGGCTCCGCAATTGTCAGGAAAAAAGTCCAGGTGTGAGTGTAGGAAATGTATCTTAAGAGACATATTACAGCCCATCTTTTGATACGATGGCAGCATATTTTTGACAAGGGTTTTATAGTTGTCAGTTTTTCTATTTCCCAAGAAATTAGTGACCACCAGACGGAAATCATTCCAAGCAGTTTTTTCAATACCTGTTAAAGTGTTTTCAAACTGTGTATCTTTCAAAATATTTCAAATCTGTGGCCCAACAAAAATAACCTCTTTAACCTTTGCCTCACTTCTCACTTGGAAATTTCTGACGCAGGTATTGAAAAGCTGACCCATCTCTATCTAATGCCTTGACAAAGTTTTTCATTAGGCCCAACTTGATATGCAGTGGTGGTAATAAAATTTTTTTCGAATCTACTAATGGCATATGCTATACATTTTTTTGACCTGGCTCTAGAAATTGACGAACAGGCCAGTTTTCTCTGGTGTAATGAAGTGCCTTTGCCCGACTGTCCCATTCACACAAAAAACAGCAAAACTTTGTGTAGCCTAGCTGCAGCCCAAGTAAAAGTGCAACAACTTTCAAATCGCCACAAATATGCTATTGGTGCTCATCGTATTTTATGCATGTCAATAGGTGCTTCATATTGTCATATGATTCTTTCATGTGAACTGCATACCCTACAGGAAGAGATGGTAAAATATTTCCAATATGCAATAAAACTGCCTTTAAACTCAATGTTGAACTGTCTATAAACAATCTCCATTCTTCTGGGTTATAGTTTATATTTAAAGCCGCCAGTAAGCCGTTAATGTTACTGCAGAAAACCAAGTTATTCTCCATATTGAAAAATGGTTCTAAGTCTTTGTGGCGTTTATGAAAAACACATACCGAAACATCGGCTTCTAACAAGTTCCACTGCTGCAGTCTTGATCCAAGTAACTCTGCCTTACATTTTGGAAGTTCTAAATCTCTTACAAGATCATTTAATTCTGACTGTGTTATTTTGTGTGGTTGGTGGCATGACGTGCTCGGTATAAAATCAGGATCTCTTGACGTTGATGGCATATCTTCTTCCTGGCGAATCACTCGATCGCCATGATCTGATTCGTTTTCTGATTCGCAAGTGTAGGATTCTGGGGGTTTTGGAATAGGATTTTCGTCACTGTGAGGCACAGTTCTCATCGCAGATGGTATGTTTGGGTAGTTAACAACCGATTTTTCTTTTCTTGGACATACCTGTGGCTTATCCAACACAAGGTACCATGCAAAAGTAACAATCATTAATATGGTCTGTAGGCTCTCTCCAAACCATTGGGACAGCAAAGCGCATAGACCGTTTTTTGCCATTTAACCAGCTCCTCAGGCTTGAAGCACATGTATTACAGCAGATGTGGGGTGCCCACTGTTTGTCTTGATCACCTAGTTTACAACCGAAATAAAGCTGATATGTCTTTGTTATTAGTGGAGTAATAGACCGTCTCTGAGACGCAAAAGTCACATCACCACACACGTAACAAAACTGATCTGGATTGTTTACACACTTTCGAGACATCTTGCATGAACGCTGTCAGTCAACTGAGGAAAAAATGGCTAATATAAAACAATATAATGTACACGTATGTATAACGTAACACAATCATGCCGATTACATCATCCTTCCTTGCCGAATATAAAAATGTAGCACGTGCATTCTTGTGAATTACAGTATATTAACACTGTCACAGCAGGAGCACATATAATTACCGTATCTCTAAAACATGAACTAATATTGAAAAAATAAGTTTCATTCCGGTTTTAGCACATTAAAAATAGTAATATTTTGTTGATTTTATTTAGGATATTTTTTGGCTGTTGATCAGTAATCGGAGATACTATTTATTCGACATGTCTGCTCACCGCAAACGATACGGTTTTCTAACTTGTTCCCACAATTTGGACTCCGCTTTGCTGATAAGTTCACATGTACTCCAAAGAACACTTGGACATAGAATACTGGAGGATTTTTAATTATAGCAAGTAGCATAACACATACCATGCTAGTTCTAAATCGGCGCGCATTTGTATCGACAAAGATCGGCCATATTCAGAGACAAAACAATAGCAATGGTGTGATGTGCTTTGCAACTGTTGCAGCTCTTCCGTCTTGGTAGCTGCCTATTGGTCCAACCGTTGTCGGGGGCATTTATTAACAATAATAATAATACCTTTTAGCAAGGCATCAGGGAGGGCGTAGAATGATGAGCTTGGAGCGTCTGCATGACAGGGTGCACTTAGCATTGCATGTGATATTGTCAGGAGTACCGCTCATCCGCTTTGTGCGTAAGCACGAGAATGCGGATAATGGAGCTCATTCTTTTAAAGCAGCGAAAACAGCAGCCGAGGAACTCAGTTTCATACTTGACTTTAAGTCGGAACTCCAGTTCATTACAGAGCTGGTTCCTGCTCAACTGAAGAGTTACATAAAAACTGCCTATGCATGGAATTCTCTACAGACACATAGATGAGCAAGGCTTGTCTAAGTAGTTGACCTTCTCGTTTCTAAGGACTAGCGGGTTAAAGTCTGAGACTGAAGGACAGGCGCCAGAGACGCTTACGTCTGTTGGCACAACGCACCTCTGCAAGTGATATACTACCATTTGAGGCACTCGTACGGTACAGATGAAACACCTGTGCTGCCCTCCAGGAGATATTGTGTCTGTTGTGGAGAACCAGAAATATAGGACTTACTGGAATTACTAGTTCCCCGCGTTTGAGCTGGTGCAGGCGAATAAGCGTGACATAGTCCTCCTAGACCACGAATGGAAGGCGATGTCCATTATTGAATTTTCAGCTCCGGCCGAAGTCTCGAGGGAGGAGGAAAGACGGACCAAATATCAGGACCTCCGCAGGCTTTGGCCAGACTGCACTGTCAATCTGCTAGTTTCGGTCATTGGAACCTTGGGTGGAATGAGGAATACACTGCTCTCTGCAGTTATATCGGTACCGGTATGTCGAGCGTCGGCAAGCATCTTAGCCGGTTTCCTCTCTCGACTTAGGGCACACGGATTGCGGATCAACTAGGTTTCTCGGAGCCCAGATTGACTGTCTTACTCTTGTTATTCTTTCACAACTTTATAGCATCTAAATAGAATTCGTATTTTTGGATGCATTCAGTTTTTCAAAGTAGTGAAATAGTTTCAAACGATGCACTCTTAGCGGCCTGTCGACGTTCAAACGTAACGTCCATGTTACCTTACGGGGTAGTGGCAATTGCCTTACAATGACCATGCAAAGTATATTGTCAACTCGGATGTGATCCTAATATAATCAGATAAACTTTACAGTTAATTATTTTCCTTTAGGTCGTCCTAAAGCGGTATATGCTAACCCATGCACTAGCGGTACGCCTCTGACCGACGATTTACGCGGTGCTCCAGTGGCGTGCGCTCATACGTCTGCCCAGGGTGTCGTCTGTCCGGCAAATTACGAATGTACTGCTGTGGCTGGATCAACACAGGCGGTTTGCTGTCCAACGGAACCCGGCCAAACAGGAGATCAGGAAGTAGAGGAGAGTGAGGATTATCCAGCTGAAGCAGAACAGAACAGGCAGCAGACTAGTAAGTATATCTAAAAGCAATTATACCAATCCTAGTTCAAACCACATTTACGTAGTGCCAAAATAAACAAGAAGAACCGAATTCTGTAGTTCTATTCACTCATCCAGACATTCATGGGCACCCGCAGGAATTTTTCAAAGGGAGGGGGGCGATAATCGGCTAGAGACAACTTTTGCTGAAAGTGTACTTGCCCCCAAAAGCTTTTGTAAAGGAGAAGTCTATCTGCCCAAATACTTTTCGAAAAGTGGGGGGTAGCAATTTTTTTACTGACGCCATATCGCTGAATCCTCAAAATTGTACAAGAAATTAGGGTAAATATGCAAAATCTAAGATCCAACGGCATTCTCAAGGGAGGGTCACGGCTCACCCATTCATGGCTATAGGAGTTCACGAATTCGGTGAATGCGCATTGGTGTTTGTTTTGACGAGGTGTAAATGGTATTTGGATGCAGTGAGGCGGTGGAGGTGTAAGAGAAAGATAAATGCGGAAATGATGAAATTGAGAGAAAACACAACACAATTATACAGGGTGTTCCTTAATGATATGCGAATATTTAGGGGTGTGAATCTACATGAAAAATTATTCTTAGTTTGCTTTATAAAGTATTGTCCAAAAATGTTTTCTTACAAATACTCGGGCTGTTGAAGTTTTAGGAAAAAAATGGAAATTAATTAATACTTTTAGAACCGCTTCAGATATTTCACTGATATTAAGTAGATAGTGAAAGTTAATAAAGTTGCATATTTTTCAATGCAAAAATAATTTTTAGCTTTAACAGTGGCGTGCCTACGGGTATTGACTTCGATATTTTTTAAGAGAAAAATGGTATGCTAATGGTTTTTTGCCAAATAAAAATTATATTTGAATTCCCCGTTCCATTTAAAACAAATGAGCTCTCTTGAATTGTTTTTTTTTTGATGCGCCATTTTTGAGTAAAAAAATAAAAACCGTTCTATTGTCTGAGAAAATTAATGTAATAACTGAAGCATGCAATTTAGCAATAAATATCTAGTGGCTGTGGAATATGTCACTGGCTTTTGACATCTGACAAGTCTCTGTTATTCAGATCTGTTCGCTGTGACATCTTTTTCATTATTAGTTTTTACAATCTTGTTATAAATGGTGAATTATTCAAATGCTGAAATGGCGGAAATGCATTACGTATATGTTGACGGTAATGATGAGCAAGCCGATTGTGCTTTGCCAGATAGTCGAACCTTTTCTAATATTCATCGTCCTCTTGTTGAAACTGGTTTTGTCCGAAAAGGAACATCTGAAGGTAGACCTCTAAGTGTGAGAACACCAGAAATTGAGGAAGCAGTGCTGCACGAAGTCGAAGAACATCCTGAAACGAGTACGAGGAAGATCGCTAGACACTTAAATATTTGCCATCGAATTGTCTGGAGAATTTTAGTGGATTTTTTGTTATATCCTTACCATATTTTATTAAATAAATTAAATAAAAGTACACAAAAAAGCAATTTGACTCAATGATTCTGTTCACGGACGTTGCTAATTTTTCTCGAAATGCCATTAAGAATTTCCACAATAATCATTTGTGGGCAGAAGAAAATCCATATGCCGTAACCGACACCCATGTGGTACATGCATGATGGTGGTGCACAAGCGCATTTCAGTGTAGCGGTTCGTAATTATTTACAAATTGTTTATCCAAATCGTTGGATTGGCCGCGGTGGGCCCCAAGAATGGTCACCAAGGTCCCCAGTATAGATTTCTTTATACTAAGTGAAGGGGCCATTTTCAACAATTTTTGTAATCATTTCGTTGGTTTTAACATCACGTTTATGTTGCCAGTTGTTGTTTTTCATTGCCCCTAATTTGTTTAATTTTTCTAATTAAATTAATAATAATTTTGCAAGTTAGACAATAGAACGGTCTTTATTTTTTTACTCAAAAATGGCGCATCGAAGGAAAGCAACTCAAGAAAGATCGTTTGCTTTAAATCGAACGGGGAATTCAAAAATAATTTTTATTTGGCAACAAATCATTGGCGTACCATTTTTTCCTTGAAAATATCGAAGTCAATACCCGTACGCACGCCACTGTTAAAGCTAAAAATTATTTTTACATCGAAAAATATGCTACTTTATTAACTCTGACTAAGTACTAAATATCAGTGAGATACCTGAAGCGGTTCTGAAAATATTAAATAAATTCCATTTTTTCCTAAAACTTCAACGCCCCGAGTTTTTGTAAGGAAATATTTTTGGACCATAGTTTATAAAGGAAACTAACATTAATTTTTCATGTAGATTCACACCCTTGGATTTTCGCATATCATTAAGGAACACCTTGTCTAGAGTGGGTCATGAATTGATTAACACTTATTTTGTAGTTGTGGCGTGAATCTGTGTGATTCGTAGAAAGGCACTAGCTCGTTTCTTGAAAATTTATTTGCAATGGATCGCGTCGCGGGGCTGCAATGCACTTTTGGTGGGAGCAAGGTGTTAAACAAGATTAATATTAAACCTGAATCAACCAGATAGCCCCGGAATTACAGCTGAAAGGGTCATTGGCCGCTACTATAGTTATATGCTGGACGTTGTTGGTATCATTCAAAACACTTGGTTTGAGACAGCTTTTTATTTCAGTGTGCGAATACCTTCACGATTTCTCCGAAAGCATGGAAGGGACGAGAGACGGAATGAAACTTGCTTTGCCTACTCCTAACTGTGACGAAAGCGGCAACTACCTAGCTCAGCAGTGCAATCAAGGTTACTGCTGGTGCGTTGACAACTTTGGAACGGAAATTCCAAACACCAGAGCAGAAGGTAAACCTTGCAATTTATCAAAATAAAAAAAGGTCAATGAACCAGATATTCTCTATTTGAAGAGGTTATCACATACTTTTATCACTTTATCTTAGATTTACACAGCCCTCTGTCGCCAAGTTTATTTTTTTATTATGGAATCGTCCATTTTATATTATAGATAATTTATGTAGAATTAGTTCTAGTGAAGGTAAATTGACCCGTCAGATGTCATGCGGTATGTGAAGAGAATTGACTTCCAATTTGAATATCCTCGATTTGCCAAATTACATAAATCGGATAACACTTGGATCAATAACACCATTGATTGAGTAATTCTCACAAAGCAACACCAAGTCAGTCCTATAGTTATGCTCATTCTTTATGATGTTCCATTTGTGTACTAGTCTTTGTGAATGTGTATGTTTATCCTGAAGGATAAGCTCTTTCCAGGAAACTATTATCGTGCAGTTATGATATACCGATATATGACAAGAATGGGGGTTCTTATATTTAACTAATATAAATATGAACCACGTTAGAATCCTTAGCTTCAAATAAGTGAGCATCTAAAATGTCCCATTATTTTTCATGGAATTTTGCTAAAGCCTTTTTTGCTCCACATCGTAAAGTGCTGTTTCTGTCAGCTATTGGCTCCCATCTTACTGCCAATAAAAGGCCTAAATCACATACAACCAGAATTTAATGTAATGTCAGAAGACAGGTAAATTGACTGTGATTGGTGACAGTAAAACGCAAAGGGCTAAGAAGATATTGCTTATTAAGCCAAGTTACTTAATCATAAGAAGCCTCAAAATATCAAAATGTTCTTATATACAGGGTCAGCCAAAACAAACTGCACAGAACTGAGAGAATCCATGGACTGTTTAGACCTGACATGCCGCATGGGTTGTGAATATGGATTTGTACTAAATCAAGATACTGGATGCCCCAGCTGTCAATGCAGAGATCCATGCAGCAGTGTCACCTGTAAGGAGAACGAGCAATGTCAGTTGGTTGAAGTGAGCTGTCGAGATCATTACTGTCCACCTGTACCTGCGTGTAAGTGTAACTGTGACTATTATGTGCGAAGATAAGGAAATCCAAATTATTTGTATAAGAACGATTGCGGAAAATCTTATAAATTAACTTTGAGCTCAGAACGGACTATATGAGGCAATAAGGACGTCGAGTTTAAACATCATATGTGAGCAATCTCCTTACTATCAATTATATCGTATATATTAATTTCCAGGTTTGCCAAAGAAGGTGGGTCAATGCCCATATTTAATTCCTGCTTCAAGTACCACGTGCACTTTCCAATGTAGTTCAGATCTCGCTTGCAACGGAACCATGAGATGCTGCAGCAACGGATGTGGGACTCAGTGTACAGAACCACTACTTCTAACAGGTTAGTATTTAAGACAAATCTCATTTTATAGGACCTTTGGCAGATCTAACATCTGTAGTGCCCAAAGCAAACGTTTGTATGGGGCCTCAAAGGGCTAAGTCTGTGACTGAGGGAGCCCCAAAAGTAATTTCAGAGCAGCAGGTGGAAAAGTAGGAGTGTATGATTCTGAAAAAAATAAATCTTATATCTATTCTGAGGTTTTTTTTTATATCGAAGCAGCCGCGCAGGCAGAAGCCTAAATGCCGGAACGCCGCGGCTGCTATGATGATCCCAAAGAAATTTTATTAATACGATTTTTGAACTGGCTAAGGTTAATAGAACTGGGAAAGCTTCCTCTTGTAGATTGTTCAACAATCTCGACACCCTCGGGACAAAGGAGCGGTCGTATCGGCCGGTTCTGGATGTACGAAGTTTGACACGGTTAGGATGTGACGCCAAAGTCAGGCGGATCTATCTGGCAGGCACATCACGCGGCGGCATCATGGAAGAGAGCTCTGAGGAGCAAAGCCCGTTGATGTAACGGTAGAAAAGAGCTAGATCGCCGACAGCCCGCCGGTGCGAAAGAGTCCAGAGACTGTCTGTTAGAGAAGAGTCATCGATCAGTCGGACCGCCCTCCTCTGGACAGCATCGAGCATGGATAATGTAGTCGGGGCGGCAGCACCCCAAACGTGTGAGCAATACTCGAGGCTAGGCCTTTACTGGGCCTTATATAGAGTGAGAAGGTCATGCGGAGAAAAGCACTTCTCAGCCCTAAACAAGTAGTCTAGCTTTTTCTCAGCAGCTGCAGCTATTGACGAGATGTGTTCGTGCCAGATCAGGTCCTCGGTGATCTGGACTCCGATCAGCCGAAATGAAAAACTCTTTGGCAGAACTCGGCCATCCATCGAAACCGGGTGAGCGCAGGGACGCTTTTTGTTCGTCAAGGTACAGTACTGCGTTTTGGAAGCATTGAACTGTACAAGATTGTTGCGTCCCCAAGCAGTGATAGCCTCCAGGCCTCTTGTCAGAAAGGAAGTCATCGCTAGTCTTCTTTTTTCCAACTCAGCGGCAGAGATCGGCTTGTCACTCTGAATTCCTGCATGTAGAGTGCTGTCATCAGCGAAGCTGTTTATTGGGTTGATCGTGCAGGAAAGGAGGTCGTTGACATGTAAGAGAAACAGTGTCGGAGCCAACACCGATCCCTGGGGAACACCTGCGTTGACGTTGTAGGATGAAGAGGAGAACCCGTCAATCACGACGGATATCTTGCGGTCAGAGATAAAGTCAGCCACCCATCTGCAAAGCTTTTCTGGGACGCCATAGGATGGAAGTTTGCTTAAGAGGGCAGCGTGTCACAGCTGGTCGAACGCTTTCGTGATGTCAAGAGCAACGACATGAGCCCCACCATAAGACTGGATGAGTTTACTCCACAATTGAGTGACGTAAGCTAGGAGGGCCCCTGGTGCCGGAAACCATACTGCCTGTCACTAATCAAGCCGTGACGTTCGAGGTAGTCCAGAAGCTCGCGATTTATGAACCTCTCCATCACCTTACTTAGAACAGAAAGCAGAGCTATAGGCCTACAGTTGTAAGGGTCGGTCTTAGATGCCTTTTTTGGGATGGGTTGGACATGAGCAAACTTCCAGTTTTCTGGGAAGGTGCCGGATTCATAAGATATTTGGAACAGACGCCAAAGAACTGGAGCAAGCTCCGGTGCACACCTCTTCAGTACAATGGCAGTAATCAAGTCCGGACCAGAAGCTTTGTTGATGTCGAGCGACAAGAGCACTCGTCTTACGGTCTTATGTCTGAATGTTACCTCCCGTTTGGGGGGACGTCCATGGTGGAGTTGGCAGCAAAGGTCGTGGCTAACACTTCCGCCTTGGCCTTTGAGTTGAATACAATAGTTCCATCCTGACACGTAAGTGGTGGAAGGCTACTGTGTGAGAAGTTCTTTTCAATCTGCTTGGCCAGCATCCAGAAAGACCGACTGCCATTGCGCGGCGACATTACCCTGTGCCTAACTATTATATAGTGCTAGTTTTTGGCATTACGAACCGCTGTTTTATATTTGTTTCTGGACTTGTCTGTTCTCTACAGTGGGGTTTTGTAAGAAGGTTCTGTGTGCCTTTGATCTTCTGCTGGCGAGCAGCGTCACACGATTTGTTAAACCAGCCGTTGGACCTTGGTCTAGGCACTTTCACTGTGCGAGGAATGTATTCCTCCATTCCGACGTGGATAATTTCGGTTATCGAAGAACAGACAGCCGATGCATCCGCGTCAGTAAAACAAACATCTTTCCAAGGAATGCTAGAGAAGAAGTCTCTGAGGAGCCCCTCCCAGTCGGCATGTCCGTAACGCCAGGTTTTGCGGCCTGTATGTGATTCTGCTGCCTCAGCGGGTTCTGACCGAAACCTAACCTCCACAAGACCGTGGTCTGAGTTACCCAGGGGAGCAGGTCAGCAGTGCTGTAAGGGGCAGGATGCGTGGTCAGAAAGAAATCCAGCAGGCTACTGGCGTGTGACGAGACGCGGGGGAAAAAGTAGGGCTCATCACCAGCTGAGTCAGCCCTTGGGTAAGAGCGAGCGCTTCGACTGCACGACCTGCTGCGTCAATCTTGTTTGAGCCCAACTAAAGCTCATTATTGGCATTGAAATCACCGAGAAGAACTACCTCTGAAGCGGGATGATTGATGTTCAGGAAGTAGGTCTGGAAGGCGAGGTATTCGAATAGGTCATCCCAGTGTAGGTCCGAGGGAGAGCGATAAAGGCAGCAATTAAATTTGGGTGATGTTTTGGAGTTGAGGCGAAGCCACAGAATGTCCTTCCGACTTGATTCCAAAGAAACATCTCTGGAGCAGGACAGACTGCTGCGGACAAAAGCCATAACTCCCCTGTTCTTTCTCAGATTGGAGTGCACGTCATAGTTTGGGAATTTAAGATGGTTAATCGGTGCAGACTCTGAGATTTTTGTCTCCGCCAAGAAAAGCACGGCGGGACGATTGGATTGCAGGTAGTGATGAGCAGCATCAATGTTGCTGTTAATCGGCGACGTTGTTCCCTCGAGCCCACCCTCCACCCGGACATACCGAGAGTGGAGTGAGTTTACGTCCGGAGTTCTTAGTGCTCGAGGGATCCATCATCATTAATTTCTTTATTTTGGAAGATAACCGACTGCATAGCTTAGGTGTGGAAACATGCGGACATTTATAAGACACCCTGGGAAAAGCTAGCGGGTGGTACTGCCTCGGTCGACTGGTCCTTGTCTACCACCTTCTTTTTACATGTTAGTGATTTTAAATAGACCTAAAGTGGCCCGTTGGCGGAATTGTACCGCCACCCGGCAATCGATACTGCGGTATTCCTTAACGCGTGTACAATCACTTGAACGGGAAGAAGTTGTATACTGGATACAACAACTTCCGGAACAAGCATCTGCCACGGCCCCGCTCAGTAGGGATCCCTGGAAACACTTTCTGAGGCCTCATCGACTTCTGGGGCTCGACGCACGATGCACCGAGTGCATCATCTTAGATTCGCTTCTGTATGGGACTGAACAAACCAAAAAAATTGCAGAAGTAACCTTCACATGCTTAATTCAGGTCCTCAGAAATTGATGATCTCAGTTGTGGCACATAAATGTTAAACCAAAGCTTTACGCAAGGTGTTACACGTTTCAGGTTGCCAGCATTCCAGGCTGCTTGCTGAGCATCACGCCAGAGAAGCAGGTATACCAGTGTCCAAGGCTTACATACCTCAATGCACTGAAGATGGATCCTGGAACTCGAAACAGTGTGACAGCATGGAGTGCTGGTGTGTGGACGAAAAAGGCGTAGAGATATCAAAGAGCAGAACAAAAGACAGAGGAGTTGATTGTGAAAGTTTGGCAGAAGAAAAAGTTACTGAATGTGAGCAGCTTCAGTGTGAGGAAGAGTGTGAACATGGGGTGGAACTAGATGAAAATGGTGAGCACTACTTAGCAAATTCTGAGATATGATCACAGTGCCATGTTGTTTCTAGATAGATGTATTTAGATGCGATATTCAGGTAGGATTCGTGCATGCATCCATCACAACCGGGCTTTTTGCCGGATCATTTTGATACATACCTTCAAAGACAGTCACTGAAATAGTTATATATATATATATATATATATCTATATATATTTTACCAGTTTCTTGTATCTAGCACGGTGTCTGTATCCATATGTATTCATAACAACCTTATGGGATTATTATAAAAGCAGCTTAGTAGCCATTGATGGAAAGCATGGTATCTATGACAGTCAGTCAATTTTTTTCAATACATAATTATTGTATTGCTGTTATTTCCAGGATGTCGAACATGCAACTGTGTGGATCCCTGTTCTAAAATCACATGCCGCGGTGAGGGTGAAGCTTGTAGAACGGTCGCTATAGAATGCATTTCTGGTGACTGTCCTTCTGTGCCTGTATGTCTTCCGCAAAAGGACAATCCATGTCAGAATGGAAATCCGTTGCTTGGACCATCAGGAGAAGAGGTAAGAACAATCAGATGTTTCGCATATCAGTTAATAGACACGTCAATTTCGTTATAGTTAGACATAGTAAGCTGATATGCTACATTTAAGAGGAAAAAGTGTCATATCGGTTTTTGCTCGATTCTTTTTTTTAGCTTCAATTGAAGGGCTATTTAAATCCTTTTGTATACTCGTATACCATTTAGAGTGTCTTTTTTCTGACTACCATTGTATAACCAATTATAGTCCTCTCTTCTTTGTTTGCTTATACAGGGTGATTCACAAGCCGTGACCAAACATCACACATCACACACGGGACCGCATTTTAAGGGGGGGGGGGGTCTTCTATGTCACATTTTCTCGTCGAAGGCTTCAATAAGAAGTAGTTTAAAGATAAAAAACATTTTTTTAATATCTTCAAGAACGTCAAATGGAATTAACTATAATTTGGTATGTGGATTTACCTAAGTATTGTCCACATTTAGAAGTATTTAATTAAAATTAACGTGCACGAGTGGCGAAGATACAGGAGATTAGTGGCATTATTTTTCCAATTAAAAATGGTACGCCACTGTTTCTTTTTTCGAAACGCGCAATTTTAATCAGCTACAAATAATATTATTCTTGTGTTTTTTCCTAGAGTGCATCGGAAAAATTAAAAAAAATAGATAATCAAAGTTTTATTTCAATAAATGTTCAAAAAGACCACCGTTCTGACGGATACAGGTGAGGCAGCATTCCAATAAAAAAAGAAACGTATTTCCGCTAAAGTTGTTGTGGCTTGGATTCGATGAAACGCATTATCTATACTTTCTTGTAACAGATCAACAGTATTAATTTGTTCAGCACACTCTGTTTAAAAGCGCCCACCAAAAATAAATCCAGGGGGTTCAAATCAGGAGACCTCGCAGGCCAATGTACGGGTCCGTTTCTGCCAATCCATCGTTATCTAAAATGATCATTCAACCATGCGATTATGTCACGACGAATATGTGATGCGGCACCGTCATGCTGATACCATATATGCGCACTCTCGTTGCTAACGGATCATCATCTAACACATTTTCTATGTAATTCTCAACACCCAAGTGCCGTCAATTCAAAGGATTCCCTACACTATGCGGGAGGTAACATTCAGGCATAAGAGCGTAAGACGAGTGCTCTTGTCGCTCGACATCAAGAAAGCTTCTGGTCCGGACTTGATTCCTGCCAACGCCAACGCGGTGTTCCCCAGGGATCGCTCTTGGCTCCGACGCTGCTTCTCTTACATATGAACGACCTCCTTTCCTGCACGATCAACCCAATCCACAGATTCGCTGATGACGACACTCTGCATGCAGGAATTCAGAGTGAAAAGCCCATCTCTGCCGCTGAGCGGGAAAGAAGAAGGCTAGCGACGGCATCCTCTCTGACAAGAGACCTGGAGGCTATCACTGCTTGGGGACGCAACAATCTTGTACAGTTCAATACAAAACACAGTACTGTACTTTTACGAACAAAAAGCGTCCTAGCGCTCATCCGGTTTCGATGGATGGCCGAGTTCTGCCAAAGAGCCTTTCATTTCGGCTGATCGGAGTCCAGATCAACGAGGACCTGATCTGGCACGAACACATCTCGTCAATAGCTGCAGCTGCTGAGAAAAAGCTAGACTACTTGTTTAGGGCTGAGAAGTGCTTTTCTCCGCATGACCTTCTCACTCTATACAAGGCCTAGAAATGGCCTAACCTCGAGCATTTACGACCGCTCCTTTGTCCCGAGGGTGCGAGACTGTGGAACAATCTACAAGAGGAAGCTTTTCCCAGTTCTACTAACCGTAGGCAGTTCAAAAATCGCATTAACAAAATTTATTTCGGATCATCATAGAGCCGCAGTGTTCCCGGATTAAGGCTTCTGCATGCGCGGCTGCTTCGATATAAAAAAAAGAAAAGCTAAGTGTGAGCTTGTATTTAAACGTTGTGGCAATACGTGCATGACCAGTTGGCCGTTGAGAATGCCACACCAGACATTTCTAGAAATTCTGTGTTGAAATGAGTGGTTTCTTACGGAATGGGAATTTTCTATCGACAAAGAAACTTTGCATTGACTTTTACAAAAAAAGAATCGTAGTAGTAACGACAACAACCACATAACAGATAACTTTGACAAAGTAACGTCAAGTTAGTGCCAATTCCTCCTATTTTATTTTGAAACTAATTGTATATCGGCTCTGCATGAATGATCTAATTTATTTACAATACACTCTAAGAAAAAACACAAGAGTAATTGTTTGTGGCAACTTGAAGGTAAAATTGAAAAAATTGCGCTTCTCGAAAAAAAAAACAGTGGCGTATTATCTTTATTTGGAAAAATAATGCCACCAATCCCCTTTATCTCCTCCACTGGTGCACGTTAATTTTAAGTAAAGACTTCTGAAGGTGGCCAATACTCAGGTAAATCCACATACCAAATTTTAGTTTGTGTCAGTTAACGGTTTTGAATATATTAAAAAAATGTTTTTTATTTCCAAACTTCATACATAGAAGACCCCCTAAAAATTGCGGTCCCGTGTATGATGTTTCATATTTGGTCACGACATGTGAATGATCCTGTATATAAAAATATACCCTAATAAAATTTCACAAATTCATCATTAAATTTCACCACATTCTAACAAACAAAGCAATGAATTTGCTATTGAAGGTACAAGAAAATGCCTTCTCAGGACTGAGCGATATGTTGATAGAAGTTCTGAAGATGACATACTGGTATTCCTATGAATACGTACCACACGTAAATAATACCAAAGTACGGTACGTTGGGGATATGTAACGCACCACAAGTCCGATCAGCAATTATTATTCGTCCCACAATTAATATGTGTAACTTGTTTTTCATCATATAGGTGATCTGTGGACCAGGTCAAGAAAGTTGCCCATCCAGTCATAAATGTCAATTGAGTCCAGTAGGAGAGTATGCAGTTTGCTGCCCAAAACCCAGTAAGTCCAATAGTACTTCAGAACAAACCGTGAAAAAAATTGTCTGAACGCTTCTTCTCATCTAGCTTTAAGCCGACACGAAAATTTTATTATAATTACTTGGAAAACGTTTTAGGATTCGGGTCTTGTGACAATTGAATTTTTTGCAGTATTCTTTCGAGAAGCTGTCATTAAAAAAATATTTTCATGAATTTTTATAACGCAATAGCAATCTATCCCATTTTGGAAAAAATATTTTACTTTTATGTTCAGCATCATGTGTATGAGTGTAACATTCAGTCTTGACGCAAATTAGTCTTTCAAGATAATAATGTTATTTATTGTAGGAGACGTTTGCTTCGAACCCCTTGATAAAGGAGAACCATGTGAGGACGATGAAGTAGAAAGCAGGAACCTCACACGGTACCATTTCAACCCAAGTACTAACAAATGCGAAACTTTCATTTACACTGGGTGTGGAGGAAACCATAACAACTTCCATACAGAGGGACTGTGTAATGGAGTATGTCCCGGTATGTTTAATAAACAAATTTTATACGTCATTATGAATAACAATAATACATTTTTGAACTTAGGAAATTAATTTCCATTCAAAGGTTCTATTTACTGTTTTTGTTTGATATTAAAATGTTTCCAATTCTTTCAAAATGGCGATCATCCATGCTTTCTAAGAGACGTCTATAAGAAATACTGCTTATTGTCAGCTTTAAGATAAGTATCCTTCCCCACAAAAATGTTTTGAACATGTTTCTATTTTCAATTATTAATAACAAATATTTATACAGGGTTTGTCTGGAAACTAATGAGCTTCACTTATTTGTGACGCAACTTGGCAGCGTAGCTCGTCGGGACCAGTTGAGAAGGGTGGGGGAAATCTTCAGCTTTCCAGCGATACACATGCCAGTTACCTCCGAGCTCTTGGAGGGTGCGTACGGTGCTTTTTGTGAGCCCTTGTCGAAGTTACGTGAGAAAAAACCTTAGAGCAAAGATACGCAATAAAGTTTTGCGTGAAACTAAATGAAACACCGAAGCAGACATCGGATTTGCTTCAAACAACGTTTGGGGATGCCTGCCTGTTATATTCACAAGTAAAAATGTGTCACAAGGGCGGGGGCGACCGTCAATGCTCAATTTTACAAAAAAGTGCTTTTTGTTTCCTCGACTAAAAAGGGACCTCAAGGGACAGCATCTGGATACCCTAGACATCATTCAAGCTACTTTGACGACCTCCCTAAACAGCATCCCAGTCGAAGAGTTCCAGAGAGCATACGCGGCTTGGAAATCACGTTGGCAAAAGTGTATCGACCCAGGAGGGTGGTACTTCGAAGAATATTGAGTTTATTTACTTAAAAGATCAATAAATTAAAAAAAAATAAAGCTTATCAGTTTCAGGACAAGCCCTGTACCTTCATATCCTGAAAATATGCTACTATATTAATCTTGTATTTTTGAGTTTTATGTTTCCCAAATGACGAACTAGCAGTGTCATATATCCATTGACCTATCTCTACTTAACTGTTTCTTTAATGGAAGCACTGATTGAATCCATTTTACTTTTTTTTTCAGTGTTAAGCCAATGTGAGCGGCTTCGAGAAAAAAACCAACGCACTTCTCAACGACTAAAGAAACCAGCCTTCCTCCCGCGATGTGACATTGAGACTGGTAACTGGTTACCGATACAGTGTTTGGAGCATGTAGGTGTCTGTTGGTGCGTAAACCCGAAGGGTGAGCCTCTCAAAGGCACGCTGATTCGAGGCAAAGAGCCGGAGTGTAGTTTCAGGAAGGCTAGGGGTAGAAGCAGAGATGGACTGGGTCTTCACGAGGTTTCGGGCTCTGGAGAGGTTCAAGATCTAGGTTAGTGTGAATTTGAGACTAGATAGATGGTAATAGTCATAACACCTGCAGTTCTACCAGTGTAACAGCGTTACTCCACAACCAAGAAGACGTTGAAACATAATTTCCATCGTCACAGCTGTGATGCATAGTCCGTCAAAGCTGCCCAACTAGCAAAGTAGTGGTATAAGCTTTTGGTAAAAGAACCGTTCAGCCATAAAAGCTCTATATTGTTGTTGCCTGAACACAAAAATGCTGGCTTAATGTTGTGCGGAATGCAGATTTGCTTTCTGCAACATATTTGCTCTAAAATGAAGTGTTTAAAATATTCTTATAGCATAGTTATACAACACCTTATGGGGCAAATTCTTAACTGTTGCACAAACGTTTATACAACTATTTTATACGGCATGTTTGCACGTTAGTCAAAATGGTTGTGTTGTGGCATCCATGGTAACGTTTATAAAACAAACCCGAGCCTTGTTGTTTTGCTGTACAATTTACTACTTTAGCCAACAAATTGCTCCCAACGGAAGCACTTATACAACTGTTGCTTAGTAACTGTTAAAGGCTGTACATATGCTAAATATGTTGGTAAACAACTTCACCATAACCTAAATTTCTGCTGTCATATTTTGTAAAATGCTAAAATGCCATAATCTATGTTTTAGTACAAACAACGCATGCATATTGGTTCAAAAGGTTTTATCATTTGTCAAATTGTTGAATAACACTTGCAGGCAAGACCAAAATATTATAATAACCTAAAGACAACATGGACGATGCCATGATTGTACATAACCACCCGCCATATTGGGCAAACCTTTATTCCTCTATTTAATATTAAATAATTATGTTTCAGTACGAAATTACAGATATAAAGTGATAAACTTTAGTGTAATTTGTGTCTAAATATAGGAGAGATTTAACGCAGATAAGTTCAGTTTTCCATCTTAAAGTCTAGATATACTTTTGGTCATTGTCAAAATATGAATCAAATACGAAGCCCGTAGAAATTGGGTAACCAATTTGCACGATAATCACAATAAAATTTGCTGCGCAAGTAACTCAATAGCCCTATATCACAGTGTAGGAGTTTATCATATACCTGTGTATGAAATTCACAATGGCCGATATGTAAGTAAACAAGATGACTGTAATGTGTTAGGTATATATTCTTCACTTCGTCTATACAATACATAAGAAATAGTTTGGTTGCAATAAAGTAGAATCACGTAACATAATAGTTGTACAGTTGACAAAAACTGAATCTTGCACTGACGCAAATGTCCTATAGCGTCCTTTTGTTTTGTAACTGTTACCTGCAGCCCTTATTTAACCTCTTAAATGTCTGAATTGTCCTATTAGGTGTGCCCATTCCGCTTGTATAGCTGTTCTAAGAGGGTTTTGCCAATGTTCTTACAGTATACAATGCTGTTTAAGGAATACTGTATAATCATTCTTCCAACTCTAATAGGAATGATAATTGTTAGTTGGGTGGTAGCATAGTGAGTACTTAGTACTACCCTGACTGATGAGGTGCCTATATCGTTGGCGACACTTCTAGAGTTCATTGAAGCAATCTGTCATCAGAAACTGTGTAGTTTCTTGCTTTCGACGTAGGGGTCGGCAGTACCGCATTTGGCTCCTGGGTTATAGTTTCCCCTTTAGTTTTGTGATCAAATAAAATATTTTATTAAATATAGCATCGACCTTCTAAGACATCAACCTGCCTTGTAATTATTCCTACAATTTCATATTCGCAGAATTTTTCAACCATGGATATAGAAATATTGTAACCTGAGGAAACAGTTCGAGAGATAACAACGGTGGCGCCTAAAGACGGTGGTCCACATGCATGGTTGTAAGACAAGTGGTGGGAGACGCTACGGTGTATATGCCTGTTTTCGCAAAGGCACCTCCTTTAGTTCTGAAAGAAATATGTTACGTAATAATGTATCACCTGGATCTTTAAAAAAGATCGCCAACTCGCGAAGCCTCGGTAGCATTTCGAAGACTCTCGCTTTTGAAATACTGACTTGCTACTGCAGTTTTGTAAATGAAAGTCTATACTTCCTCTAGTAGAATAATTGTGGCACTCATTGTTTAATACAATAAAATTTTCTAAGTGATTTGGTAGAAGATCATTTTTTTACTTGAATATGAAAATGAAAACCAAGTGGGCTATGAAATGTTTGATATTTAACCATTGCAGTTCTTTCAGTATAAAATTTATTCTAGTATATTTATTTTTATTTAAGATGATTCTCATAGCTTTATTTTGTAATATTTGTAATTTTGAAGGTACAGTTTCATTTCTAGTGAACAAAATAGTCGAACAATATAAGAAATGAGGAAGAATGATAGGGTTGTACAAAGTTTTTTTAGAATAAACGCTTAGGCTATGCGAAATTCTATAAAAGTAATTTACTTTCGTGGATGATTTTGAAATAATATATTCATAGTGACCTTCAAATTTTAATTTACTGTCTACATATATGCCCAAATGTTTAAATGATTCGATTGACACAATTTTTTCATGATTAATTGTAAGATTTATCGTATTTTGATCTAAAGATTTCCCTATTAGCATATATCTTGCTCTGTTTGTGTTTAGTTCAAGTTTATTTACATTTAACCAATTTATTACGTTTTTCGTATCATTGTTTAACAGCTCTATTGAAGTTTCTATGTCATTATTTGATATATATATATATATATATATATATTAATGTATCATCAGCAAATAGTTGAATTTTGCAGTGTTGTAAAGTATCAGGAATATCGTTAATATATAAAATAAATAGTAATGGACCTAATTTGCTACCTTGTGGCACACCTACCGAAATGTTTTTAGTGTTTGATAATGTATTGCCGATTTTAGTTCTTTGACTTCTAATGATTAAATAATTTTGTTGAATACTGAACCTTGATATCCATAGCAATGCAATTTCGTTAACAATTTCTGACTGTCAGTAGTCTCAAATGCTCTCTTAAGATCTAAGAACAATGTTACTGTACACTTTTTTCCATTCATATTTCGCCTCCATTCTTCTACTACCATTTGAATTGCTGTTTCAGTAGAACACTTTTTTCTGATTCCTGCTTGAAATTTTGTCAATATCTTATTTTCTTCAATATACTTATTCAATGACTTGTTCATATATGACTCCCTCCAAGAACTTCTCGACATCTGGCAGTACATTAGTTGGCCGCATGTTTGTGTATAACTTAGATTTTTGTATTTGGAACAGGAGTAGTTGTAGATCATTTTAATTTTGAAGCAAATTCGCCATACACTAAACAGTGATTCACTAGCAATAATAACTTCTCTCCAATAATGTTTAAATATTCCTTCATGACCTTTTTTGAAAGGTGTTCACTAGGACTTCTATTCGATTTCAATCTTGTAATAGCTTTTGAAAGATGGCTGATACTTATTGTTTGGAATTGTCTCATAGAAGAATTACAAGCAACTTACATGCGACATAGATTTGGATCCCCATTTTCGATTGATTCCATCTCTCATTTATACTTTCTATAAAATAAGCGTTAATTCGTTCTGCAATCAATATTTTTTAGTGTCTTCCACATCATTTTACTGTTATTTTTATTGCTGTCGATTTTGTTTTCATAATATTTTTTCTCTTCGTTCCTAAGATTTGTTAAACACTTGTTTCTTGATTTCTTATATTGTATCCAATCTTCCTCAGTTTGAGTGATCATAAACTTTTTATAGTCATTATCACGCGTCAGTTTAGAGTCTAAAAATATTTGTGAAAACCAGAGTGTTGGCTTTTTCCTTTGATATACCACTTTCCTAATGTGTGCGTCTCTCATGCAGTTCTCCATACAATCCATAATTTTGTGTCAGCATCGTTAAAAATTTCAGTGATATTGGATTGTAAGAGTGACTCTCGTAACGTTTCAAAGTCAATAATTGTGATTTATCTTGATTCTCTCTCATTAAACATATTTTCCACCTCGAAACATAACCACGAATCGTCGCTTATGTTTGTTGAGTTTGTAAAACCTTAATACTCAAATTCTGTTTATTGGTGCAATACGTATTCCTCAATTCTGAACTTTCATTCTTATTTCTTAACATGATTTGATATACAGAGTGGCCCAACGAAAATGTCGCACCCCTATCTGAGACTCTCCTGGTATATTTTGGGAAATACGCTCGGAAATGTCAGTTTTGATTTCTTTTCATCTATAACTGTACAATGCAGGCTGATCCAAAATAAAATATTTTGTTAAATTTTAGATTTTAAGATAGAAACCCCATTTTTTCAATTTTTAGATTTTCCAAGTTCTTAGTAACTTTGTTTAATAAAGTTTATACCTATCTTCGTCTAACTTAACTGAATACTGATAATAATGGAATGTAAGGCAAACAAATTATAATCATGGATACCAGCACGAACATTTAGCATCAGTCAGTGTCATCGTATATCATAGAAAGACTTTGTCTTTCATTTCAAATTGTTAAGTTACCTACCTAGTCGTGATAAATATTGATCAATGACTTCAATTCAAGAAAGGGTAGAAATAACAAGATTGTATTACCAAAATGAGTGCTTTGAAAGAGCTACTGCTCGGTTGTTTAATGCGTTACATCCCGACAAAAATATTAACGACGAATTAATTGATAAGAAAATTTGAAGAAAATGGATCTGTGTCTAATATTTGCCGTAATGGCCATCGAGAAATTCGACCAGTTAGAAATGAAGCCGCAGAAATAGCAGTTTTGGGGCACGTAGCACTTGACAACATTGAAAGCACTCGTGGACCGGATACTTCTTAAGGATTAACACGATCACCTGTACAAAGAGTTTCGAAACACAATAAATTTCACCCGTACAAGATAAAGCTTGTCCATGAGCTTAATAAAGACGATTTTCATAGAAAATAGAAGGTTAGAGTTTTGCAAATTAATGTCCTAACGTCTAATCAAGAATGCAAATTTTATTTAATATTTGTCTATCGGATGAGTGTATGTTCTATTTACGTGGTGATGTAAATAAGCATAATTGTCGATATTTGAGTGACTCGAATCCACACTTGTTTCGAGAGGTAAACTCGCAATATCTTGAAAAGATAAAAATGTGTGGGCCGGCGTTTTCGTAAATCATATTGTAGGACCGATCTTTATTCCTAGAAAGTTGATGGGCGAAAAGTACTTGGACATGTTAGAAAATACAATAGAGCCACTTTGTTATACAAAAATTACTAAAATCTCCATGGAGAATCCTAAACTTAAAAAAAAGTTTTTGAAAATCGTGTAACGCAATATTTTATTTTTGGATCACCCTGTATTGTAAACTATACATAAAGATGCGCCCCCCTATAAATCAAAATTGACGTGTCCAAGCGTTTTACCCAAAATATACCAGGAGAGGTCACAAACCTTTTCGTTGTTTCACCATGTATGTTTGTATCTATACAATTCAAGTGCTTAGTTATTAAGGTTGACTTATCTTTCAGTTTTGGAAGAGCTCATGCAACAACTGAGCACATATAGTGAAGAAGAGGTCGATAAAAATGTGGACTCTGATCAAGTAGCCAACTTCGAAGTACCGTCGAAGAGTAGATGTGAGGCACTTGGAGGTCAGTGTGACTCTGACGGAAAGTTCTTGCCGTTGCAGTGCGAAAAGGATATTTGTTGGTGTGTCAACGAAGCTGGAAACCAGATTCCAAATACAAATACGTTTGTTATAGGAGAAAAGACATGCGGTAAGCATAATAATAAATAATACCCACGCAGCACGAGAATTCACTTTGAAAGTTCTCTTTCAGATTTGTTTTTCGACCAATTGTTACATTTATAAAAAGTCAAACATTCAATGAAAAAGTCGCTTATACATTGCTATGCAACTGACGACTGTTTTTCCGCTGCTTAATCGCTTATCGATTTCTAATGTGAAGCGCAAGGTAATAATGCGACAAGACTGCACTTCCGTTACTATTGGCTGCTGCAAGTTTTCAATTTCCTCGCCAAGTGTATATTATGATCATAAAAGATTTTGAAGTTGAGATGTTATCTTTTTTGATGTTACATAACCACTTTTACGAAACCCATGTCACTCATTTCCGTCGGTGGGTCTGTTTGTCTACCCGCTAGTCCATAATTCCTTGGTAACTTACTACTACGCCAAATAAGAAAAAGCTCTGTAGTTTCTGGAACTCGGTCCAGTGGCGGCTGAGTAAACGGTGAAGAAGTAAAAATACTAAAATCGCTCAGACTCATTTTCAGAAAAGTTTTTGTGTTGGTTAAAATGGGGGTTTGGGGGTTGTAACAGAGCAATATTATCAAAGAGACATCCTAGCATCGATAACGTTGCCAAATGGTCGATCCTTTCGGTAGAACAGGGGAGAAATTTTAGATCCAGTGAGGACTATGGGCTCAGTATATGCTCTTGTTTGGCCAACTTTCTTTATCTTTCTTGTTATACGTTTTTGCTGTATACACTGTTTTCCACAAGGCCTCCTTTATGCAGCGTTGCATGAGAAGTTCTGAGTCAACCTACTTGATATCATTGTTTGCCTCTCTACTGCACAGCGCTTCTGGATCATTAAATTTCTGTTTTTGGGTAAATTCGCACGCAAAACATGATGTTCTATGTTCTACAGTATTTACACCGATTGAAGCAGCGGAAGTGACGTTAGGCTTCAAGGGACAGTTCGATGACGTCATGGCAGAAAAGATTGTCAGCCAGATGACGAAAATTATCAACAACCTACAGGGTAACATCAACAGTGAGGGATTGGAAATAGATGTGAATCCTGAGGAATTATATGTTAAGTTCTCGCTTATTGGCAGCAATAAGGTTGATGTTGGATATAAAATCGAACAAATGGTGAGTGAGATTTTATAATGTTTGTAAGAGAGCCCTCCGTTTATAAGAACCTTATGAACCTGAAGATCCAAAACAACGTTTGTCAGATTATTTTAGAATAAAAAGGTTTGCTTCCATTACTATAAACTAGAAATGTATCTCATATCTATGGTTCGCAAAACCTAAACAACTCTTCAAATCTCCTTTGTCTCATAGTATACGGATGTCTTTTAAGTTTTGCGTATGGAAATACAACAACACGGTAGGTAGTTTTAAATGACTTTATTATTTTTCGAAGTATTTTCCATGAAGATTAATACATATCTGCATGCGCTCGAACCAATTTTCGAAGCACTTATTCCACTCGTTTGCTGGCAGATCCAAAACGGTATTTTTGAATGCGTCAACTGCTTCTTCTGGTGACTGGAACCTTTGACCACGCAGTCTGTTTTTAATTTTCGAGAAAGTAAAGAAATCGTTAGGACTTAGATCGGGACTATATGGAGGATGGTCCAATAATTCCACGTTTTCTTTCGTTAAATACTGCCTTGTTTTTTGGGCTGTGTGCGAGTTTGCATTGTCTTGGTGGACGATGATTCTTCTTTCGGGGTTGATTTTTCGAAGCTCGGTGACGACTTTTGGCAAACAAATGGTGGTATACCAATCCGCAGTAACAGTTCTTTGCTCATTAAGAGGAACTGTTGCAATGTGACCCGCTTTTGACACACATGTCGCGACCATCTTTTTCGAAACACTTCGAGAACGGATGGCTTTTGTTGGCTTTTCTTCACCTTGGAACACCCAAACAGCCGACTGTCGTTTATTTTCTGGTTCATAACAGTAAATCCACGATTCATCACCTCTAGCAATGCTGTACACATTTTTTGAGTTTCCGGAATTGAATCGGTCAAGCGTTTTTTGACACCACCCCGGCTGCTTTCTGCTCTTCAGTCAACAGGTGGGGTATCCAACGAGAAACTAATTTTCTTACTCCTAATTCTTCATGTAAAATTTTTTGAATTGAGGTCTTTGGGATCTTCAAGGACGCCTCAGGATTCAGTATTGACGTTCGATCCGCGCGGCCTACTATGTTTCTATATGCAAATCTTAAAAGACATCCCTCGTAATATAGTAAAATTGCAACTAGGTCCTGAGCCACAGTTCAATGTGTTATGTAACATATACTGCCGCCATAAGCCAGAAGATAGTATATGCTGTTTTCACATCTTATAGTAACGGCGAGAACGAATTGTAGCGTTTTAAGGAAAAATAATAATTTTAATTTATACCCGGTTAAAATTTTCTAACGAGTACATTAATTTCACCAAACTTGGCTATCTATAAATAAAAAAAGGATATATTGTTACTTCTGAATTAACTGAACTGCTGTCTCTTTAATTGATAACACGGTCAGTACTCCGCAATATTTCACGTTCGGCTTATGTAATTTTTAGTGTATGAAACCTATGAAAATGTGTTACACTATCCTAACAAACACACTAAATAATTAAAAATATGAATTCGGTGTGATTAAGTGTATCTTTAATAGTACCTGCTTGCGCCATTGCTTTGGTTATACCTAAATCAAAACACAGTATCTGTGTGGTTTCCAAGCAAGAATGCATTATTTGCTGTGTTTTACTTTATTGATGTGCAGATACTGTATTGTATACTAAGTAACATATAAATCCGAACACCCAGATTAAATGGTTTTATTTTAATAAAATTTTGTATAAGTACTTAATGAAGCATAATAAGTAAATGATAAAAATTTCAAAATGATTGCACTGCTTTTAAGCCCTTTGACCTTTAATAATGAGTGGATGCACCCTGATGTGCTAGGCATTCTCCAACGCGCCTAGGCATGCTTCTGATCAGGTGGTCAATGTCCTCCTGGGGTATCTCATTCCAGGCAACTACCAACTCCGCTCGAAGTGCTTCTAGAGTCTGAGGAGGACGTTGCAAATTGAGCAATCTCCTACCCATCATATCCCACACGTGCTCAATTGGGGATAAGTCGGGAGATCTTGGTGGCCATGATAACAATGTGACATCATTATGTTGAAAGAAGTCTATTGTGAATCTTGCAACATGTGGTCGGGCATTATCTTGTTAGAAAGTTGGATCTGCCAGGGTGTCAAGATAGGGTAAAAGATGGGGTTCTAGAACTTCGTGGATATAACGCTGCGCATTCATGTTACCTCTGATGAAGATTAAAGGTGACCTGGAACCATGAGCTAAAGCACCCCAAACCATAACTCCAACAGTGTGATGAACATGTCTTTCAACAAAAAACTGTGGATTCCTCCTTTCACCACGTCGCCTTCTAACCCTGACACGACCATCGTGCATGCCTAAACAAAATCGAGACTCGTCACTAAAGACAATACTGTTCCATTCCTGATCCCATAGTGACCGTTGTCTGCACCACTCAAGGCGATTACGTTGGTGTTCTCGAGTTAAAGGGAGGACCCAGTGTGGCCGGTATGAAAACAAGCCAAAACTTCTCATTCGTCGGTAAACACTTCGCATGCCAATAGGTCTTCCGTGTTCTGCAAACCATTCATTTGCAATGGACCTGGTAGTGGAGAAACGGTCCCTTAAGGCCAATAATCTTAGGCGGCGATCTTCACGGTCTGCTGTTCTACGGCGGCGTCCAGTGCCCCTTGCTCTTTGCGTACTGCCTTCTCGAAGCCATGCCTGACAACACCTAACCACAGTGTCTACACTTCTTTGCACTCTAACTGCAATTGCCCGAAAAGAAAGTCCAGCTTCCCGAAGTCCCACTATACGGCCCCTATCAAACTCACTAAGTTGACGAAATCGTTCAGGTCTCCGTACTCTAGGCATCGTAACCGATCGTAAAGGATGTCAAGAACCTAAATCCGCCAACGTTGATTCTTTACTGCGGCTGAAATAATCATTCTTAGAGCGTTAGTGAATTAAAAAAAAGCGGGATAAAAACCGGAATGTCTAACTGATAAGGCTGAAAATTTTTTCACTTGTTATTTACAGTAAGATAAATACATTCACCAACTTTTATTAAAATAAAACCATTTAAACTGGGTGTTCGGATTTATATGTCACTTAGTATAGTTTGAGATAATAGTGAGAATGCTGGATACTGTAAAAAATTCATATTTTTGGTATTTATTATGACATACAGGGTGATTCACAGGTCGTGATCAAAAATGAAACATCATACACAGGATCGCATCTTAAGGCTGGTCTTCTACGTGAAATTTTTTTTTCGAGGGCTTCATTAGAAAGATACGGGGTGTTGAAGTTTTAAAATAAAAAAAAATATATCTTCAATACGGTCAACTGGAATGAACTAAAATTTGATGTGTCGATTCACCTAAGTATTGTCCACGTTCAAAAGTCTTTACTTAAAATTAACGTGCACCAGTGTGGAGATACACGGGACTAGGAGCATTTTTTTTACAAATAAAAAAAGTTATTTTTACGAAAACAATGCACTCTAGGAAAAAACAAGAGTAATTATTTGTAGAAAAATGTAGGTGAAATACGAAAAATTTCGCGTGGCGTACTATTTTTACTAGGAAAAATAATGCCACTAATCTCCTGTATCTCCGCCACTGGTGCACGTTTATTTCAAGTAAAGACTTTTGAATGTGGACAATACTTCTCCACATACCAAATATTTGTTCATTCGGTATTGAAGATATTAAAAAAAATGTTCTTCATTTTTAAACTTCAACACCCCGTACCCTTTTAATGAAGCCCCCGAGGAAAATATGTTACATAGAAGATCCCCCATCAAAATTCGGTCTTGTGTATGTTGTTTAATTTCTGGTCACGACTTGTGAATTACCCTGTATAGTGTACTCCCTCATCGTTCTGGCTTAAGGCTTCAGTATGGATCGGAGGGGTTAGCTGCATATTATAGGTGAATGTGAAGATGACAAACTTTTTGTTGCAGATTATGAATCGTCTGCTACCTCCAGGTTTCTCCCCAGACATCAGCAGATCCCGGGTGACATTCAGACAAAACAAAGAGGACAAAGATCGCCTGCAGGATAATGTGTTAGCCTTGGAGCATAGAGAAATAGTATCACAGTCGCCGGTGTCTGTGGTAGCACCATACCATACCGCCTTAATAGTCATTGCTGCTGCTTCGGCATTTGTCATTTGTGTTTTGACACTTCTAATGGTGCTTTACAGGAGAAAGGTAGGTTCACTACGTTTCCATAACTTAATTTCTTTTTACGATAGACAAGCGGCCTCACGACCTCCGGCACGTAATAGCCTAATAACATTGCAAAAAGATTGCAAATTATTGTGATAAATTGCTATTTTATATGTCAAATTGCAATTTTTTGGTAAACTGCATACTGCATGCAGCTATCACTGCTTTAGTGTGACACTAGCTTTGCCGACCATATCGCTTTCTAGCTAATAGGTAGCATGAATCTATCGCATATCGGTATCAGAATAATAATGATAATATTAATGTTAATAATAATAATGTATGTGTTTATATATCTTTTATTTTTTTTATTTAAAATTAAGCATTTTTGGACCAAATCGGGATAATTGTCCAGATCAGTGGTCTTTCTATATGGAGGTTAATTGTCTAAAATAATAATAAATTCCTTTATTTGAGTTTTAAATCTCGATACTGATGTTATAGTATTTTTAAGATTCGGAGGTGGCATATTGTTTAATTTTGGTGTAAGATAAAGAAAGTGCCAAGAGTTTGATAAACATAAGGAATATTTTGCAGTTTGATTTTGCCTGCATGGATATTCCTTAATATAGATCGCACATCAAGAATGGATTATTTGGTTTGTGGGATATGCTATTTGTTTCTCATATATACTAAGTGACATATAAATCCGAACACCCAGTTTAAATAGTTTTATGTTAATAAAAGTTGGTGAATGTATTTATCTTACTGTAAATAACAAGTGAAAAAATTTTCAGCCTTATCAGTTGGACATTCCGGTTTTTATACTGCTTTTTTTTAATTCACTAACGCTCTAAAAATGAATATTTCAGCCGCAGTAAAGAATCAACGTTGGCGGATTTTGGTTCTTGACATCCTTTACGATCGGTTACGATGCCTAGAGTACGGAGACCTGTACGATTTCGTCAACTTAGTGAGTTTGATAGGGGCCGTATAGTGGGACTTCGGGAAGCTGGACTTTCTTTTCGGGCAATTGCAGTTAGAGTGCAAAGAAGTGTAGACACTGTGGTTAGGTGTTGTCAGGCATGGCTTCGAGAAGGCCGTACGCTAAGAGCAAGGGGCACTGGACGCCGCCGTAGAACAACCGACCGTGAAGATCGCCGCCTAAGATTATTGGCCTTAAGGGACCGTTTCTCCACTACCAGGTCCATTGCAAATGGTTTGCAGAACACGGAAGACCTATTGGCATGCGAAGTGTTTACCAACGAATGAGAAGTTTTGGCTTGTTTTCATACCGGCCACACTGGGTCTTCCCTTTAACTAGAGAACACCGACGTAATCGCCTTGAGTGGTGCAGACAACGGTCACTCTGGGATCAGGAATGGAACAGTATTGTCTTTAGTGATGACTCTCGATTTTGTTTAGGCATGCACGATGGTCGTGCCAGGGATAGAAGGCGACGTGGTGAAAGGAGGAATCCACAGTTTTTTGTTGAAAGACATGTTCATCACACTGTTGGGGTTATGGTTTGGGGTGCTGTAGCTTATGGTTCCAGGTCACCTTTAATCTTCATCAGAGGTAACATGAACGCGCAGCGATATATCCACGAAGTTCTAGAACCCCATCTTTTACCCAATCTTGACACCCTGGCAGATCCAACTTTCCAACAAGATAATGCCCGACCACATGTTGCAAGAGTCACAATAGACTTCTTTCAACATAATGATGTCACATTGTTATCATGGCCACCAAGATCTCCCGACTTATCCCCAATTTTGCACGTGTGGGATATGATGGGTAGGAGATTGCTCAATTTGCAACGTCGTCCTCAGACTCTAGAAGCACTTCGAGAGGAGTTGGTGGTTGCCTGGAATGAGATACCACAGGAGGACATTGACCACCTGATCAGAAGCATGCCTAGGCGCGTTGGAGAATGCGTAGCACATCAGGGTGCATCCACACATTATTAAAGGTCAAAGGGCTTTAAAGCAGTGCAATCATTTTGAAATTTTTATGATTTACTTATTATGCTTCATTAAGTACTTATACAAAATTTTATTAAAATAAAACCATTTAAACTGGGTGTTCGGATTTATATGTCACTTAGTATATAATTTTTAAAATCAATTTTCGCACTACCTCAAGGTCTTTTAAATGCGTGTTGGTTACTACACTACATTCGATGATTTCATAATACAGGGACCGATGCTGTGTGCCTTGAAATGAGGCCTCTCAATTTTTTTCAAATTTATCTAGCGTGTAAATTTCATCTCAAGTGCTTGCAATAGATAATCACATAGCATTCGACCTCTATACATGCCCAGTATTGTATAGACAAGTAACTAAGAACGGTGTTTATGCTCTGTCGTATTTCCTTTGTCGCCTCTTGTTCCAAGAACATATTCGATAGTATCCTACGCGCTCGAGTGAAATGCGAGTTTGAGTAGTTTAGGCGAATATCAGCAAAACAGCTTTGTTCTATTCCTCATAGAGGCGACGCTTTCTACGTTTTGGCTACCAGAACCAAAGATTAAAATATAATAAATACGAAAAAGTGTCTTCATCAAACATCAGTAATGGTGGAATGCCTGATACTGTAAATAGTGGGATACCTTGAAGGGTTCTGCCCGCTATTTCTAAATACTCGTAGTTGCTGTGATCCTAGCTGATTATTGACTTAAAGCAAATACCTAGTTAAGTATATTATGGAAATTATTGTATACCATTGTCCCTATATTACTGCAATTAAAGGATTTTACATTCAAATTATCTGATATTCATATTTTTTCTCTAAAAGCTTTTAAATTAGAAACTGAAGTAGATAAGACTCAAAATTGAACTTTCAGCTGACCCTATCCAGAATCCATGAAAAAATTTGGTTTGTCTGTCATTTTTCAATACTATGATACGAGTATATCTGAAAAAAGTAATTATCTTATTCAGTTTTAACTGCTTTTTGCATTGCACAAAAACCTCCGCCTCTTTCCGGCAATTATCTGGAAAACTACACGTTAATACGTTTTCGCAGAAAATTACGAATTTATTGTCAAATGTCAACAGATGTCAAACTGGCGGATCAAGCATCGACCTGTAGTATGAACTTGCATCCTGACTACTGGCTACTTAATTTTGGTTCAAAACAAGTCTTACCGTTGCCCCGTCAACCCAGTTCGCAATCTTTGGGCTGAATAGCGCGGTGTGTAGTTCTAATTTTGGAATCACCACTATCTTGGGTAATAATTATGCGAGTATACACATACGTATATATAGGTACACGTGACAACTATTAAATAATTCCTTTGCTCTATTGGTCGCTAGAACATGTACAGTTTCTTCCTTTCGGAAAATTGGAAATTCTTGTAATATTTTAAATTCTACCTGTGGTTTTCATGTTGATGATCCCCCATGTTTGTCTGGCTGAATCAAACAAAATACTACGGTACTATAAGAGTTTTGCAATACAGCTTTATTTATTGACTTCTCGCAAAGAAATTTCCACCATATTCAATCTGCCAAAACCAATCTTTAAACCAGCTCTGCCAAGTTTCACCCGGGAGTGCGGCACACTCGTTGTCAGAAGATCCTCATCGCTAAAAAACCGTTTTCCTTTTAGCTTCATTTTCACATGCGGAAACAGTGCAAAGTCGCAGGGAGCAACATCTGGACTGTAAGGATGGTGCTCAATAAGTTTCAGTCTAGTAGTGGTCAAATACTCGGTGCCGGCTTTGGCACGGTGAGCTGGAGCTTGTCATGGTGGAGGTACCAAGTGTTCATTCTTGACTTTGGCAGCAGGTTTTTCATAGACTCTATGACTTTAGGCAGACACCTCCATATACCACTTAGCTGTAACTGTCTTCTGTGTGTCCAAGACGGCACTCTCCACAATCCCGCTCGACTTGAAAAATACAGCTATCATTTTTTTCTTAACAGAAGTGTCAAACTCTGTTTTGAGCCTTGGTCGGCACCCCATTATAATAGAGCCAAGTCTCGTCACCTGTCACGATGATATCAGCCCTTGTCAAACATTTTCAGCATCTTTCGATACCAAGTCCTACGACGAGTCTTCTGCTCTTCCGTCAGACTATGCGGTACCCAGAGAGAACAAAGTTTCCTTACGTGTAAATGGTCATGCAGAATTGAATGAATTGTTGTGAATGAAGGTGTAAGGTCTCCTTTATATGTTGATATGTCACTCTGCGGTCTTCGTCAAGCATTATCCTCACAGCAATACTGTTTTTTTTTGTTACTGACGTTGGCGGCCTTCCTTCCCTCTCAGCGTCTGTACCACATGAATATAGTCGTCTATGCTTAAACCACGTGTAAAGTTACTGCCCTTATCTCACTACGTGACCACGATGCCATACTCCGCATTTTACACTGTCAATACAAACGAACAACTGAATCAACATACGTACTGCTGGCGACTACTATGCACTTACGGGCATGTCTCAACTTGCAGTAACATGCAGCCTCCTCCATACGTTTGCTAAGTCATATTGCAAAACTTTTATAGGACCCATTGTATGTTTAAAATGATTTTTTATTGTACGACGTTTCTGTTCCAATTGTGAGGTTTTTAAAGTGCAAGTGACACTTTTTTGACAATATATTTTATTTATCTACCTTCCAGCTGACACTTAGTTTGTTAGCATGGTTCCTTAGGATGTCGAAGTACTATTTCATTTCAGATCCATAAACAATGCACACCAGCATTTTAAGCGAGGATTGCATAGCAATCAACCGGAGTGTGACGACAACAAACCTGGGTGGGTTTTCACATTTTCGGAGAACTTTAGGCGTTTTCAGGACGATGGGCGAAGGGCTTTGGCAGGCTGGATAGCTTTCTCAGAATTGCCTACCTTAAGCGGTTTGGGCTCTGATAGTTTTAACATGTTACAGGACCTTTTAGACTATTATAGTAACACACTGTATAGGAAGTTGAAACGAAAGAAAAAAAAACGACGTGTGACCTTGTAGACAGATAAATAAAACATATTGTAAAAAATGTGACAATAAAATAAATTGTACCTGAAGAAGGCCACCAGTAGGACCGTAAAACGAAAATGCAAAGAATTTAAACATGGGGGTTTATTGAAGATTATACTTTCACACACGTCATCAGCGAGTTGTTGCATGCCATTTCTAGTAGTCAGTATCTGCTGCTCGATTATTTGGTACCAATTTCACTAAAAGTATTTGTACGTATTTGATTAAATATTTTGTTACAGATGAACAGTCTAGCTGCTCAGAAGGCCATAGAGGAGGATCGATATTTAGCTGCAAACAGCCACAGACCTATTTACATCGAACTGCCAAGTGAAAAATCAAACAGTGACAACAGCGATGATAAAAAATCAAAATGTACATGAACGACAGAGATTTTTAAATCTGTTTATCTGGAAAAATTGAACTAATATTGCCCCAGCGGAAAATAAACACTACCGACTACGTGATGAAACGGCACTATCAGCAGCGTTCGTGTACGCTTGAATTAGCTAACAGACTGGAAAAAATTGTACCACTGAACTATGAAATCACACTACCGTAGTTAATGCTTAGTCCTCAAATTGTTATTGTTTAAAAATTTTGATTGTCATTTGATGTTATATAATCTTTGGCTCGAGGTGCTCGATGAAGTGAAATAAAATGGTGGAGTCAACTAGAAAAATTTGCATAATAAATTGCTTAGTTGTGTATCAGTAGTGGTGTCAATGCAAACATCTAATTGGCTGGGTTCATTTTCAAAATTTTTAAGTACGTGCAATAGAAGAACTTACTTACGTATGGCCACTTGACTTTATTCGAATGCTCAAAATTGTTTGTATCAATAAACATTAGACGTTATCATTGACTCTTAACATGGCTGTGCCTTCTACGTTGATTGATGATACTTTCCCTGGGGCAATTTTGTTTGTATACTAATAATGGTATGCGTGATATATAGATTATATATTTATTATAAAGAATCAACCCCTCCCCTCTTCAAAATCTATGTATATAGCAATGCCGGAAAAATATTCATTCAGTTGATTTTCAAACTATTCATGTTCACCCTATGTACTTTGTTATATTAAATGAGGTTACTTACGTATACTGCTTGGAGAATTATAGTATTTTATGTACAGTTTGTTTAATGGAGACCAGTATAGATATTTAAGTATGTTATTTATTAGAAGTATTTGTAAATAAAACAAATATGGGAGTAAAATTAGTATCTTATTTCACTTCCGTTTAAAGACATCCACTTTTTAAAGAAGCTCTCATTGAGTCCTTCTAAACGTTCCTCTCTATACACGTGTTTGATTGTAGTGTCAACCGATGAATATGATTAAATTAGTGAGGTTTCCAAAAACGACTTTGTGAAAAAATTAAAACAAACAGGCCGACGCCATTTTCTGTCCTATAAACAACAATAAACGATATGCTGCAGTTTTCTACCAATGACGAACCGCCGTAGCCGAACATTTTCTACTCCCGCATCGCGATTGCTCAGTAGGTTCAGGCTTCGCAAAGAAGATACCGGATACACAGGGTGTTCATTTGAAAACTTGTATATCGAAAACCACTGATTCTGTCTTTTAATCAGTGGTTTTTGATAAATAGTGTTGAGAAGTTTTCAGTTATTGGTTAATTGGGATTTCTTGGATAATACTAGTGACACAAATGATGCAATTAATGCATTTTATACCAAACTTTACGAATTATTTGATGCACACGTTCCACAATATAAAAATTTCAGGCATAAATATCCCTTTTGGTACACCAGTGAAATTATAAAACTAGTAAAACAAAAAGACAAAGCGCACAAAAAATTTAAAAGGTCTGGTGCTAACGAAGATTAGCAAGAATTCGGCAGAATCAGGAAAATATTTAAGCTTAAAACCAAAGAGGCATATAATATCTATCTTCAAACCATTCAAAACCAGCTAAATGATGACCCTAAGTCTTTCTGGTCTTTCGTACATAGTAAAAACAACACTTCTAGGATTCCCAATACAATGTTGTATGGAAACGAGTCATTTGGTGATCCGCAAAGTAAAGTCAACGCCTTCGCTGATTTTTTCTCCAGCGTTTACTCAACTGCTAATGTCGATACTGAGTTGAACTTTGATTTCAGTCATAGTGGACTCGTCGACATTAGTTGTGAGCCAAAATCAGATGAGGAAATTTTAATGGCCTGTAGAAAGCTTAAAAGTAAATTGACTGCTGGACCTGATTAAATCCCATCTTTTATTGTTAGAGATTGTATCAGGAAATTAGTTCATCCTTTACGGGTTATCTTCAATTTAATCCTAACAACGACTGTTTTCCCCGATAAATGGAAAATTGCCAAAGTTTGCCCAATTCCAGAGTCAAAAAATTATCACTGTATCAGTGAATATAGGGCTATATCTATACTCAATAATTTTGCAAAACTCTTGGAGATCGTACTGTACAACCGCATTTACCTGTCCACTAAAAATAATATTTCACAGGTAGATGTGGTGTACACCGATTTCTCCAAGGCCTTCTATAGGGTCAGCCACAGTATTTTGCTCCGAAAGCTTGAGTACCTGGGCTTCAACAACATTTACTTAGCGCTCTTAACATCATATCTGTTTGAAAGGAAACAGTATGTTTCTTATAATGGCTACATATCACGTGTTTATGTCTCAACCAGTGGCTTACCACAGGGTTCGAATTTAGGACCACTGTTGTTCATATTGTTTGTGAATGATCTGTGTGAATCTTTGACTTGTTCTAAGTTAATGTTCACAGACGACCTAAAATTTTATTCATCCGTTTCATGCTTGGAAGACTGTGCATTTGTTCAAGGTCAAATAAATAAAATGCAAAGCTGGTGTGCCAAGAATCAACTTCATCTTAATATAAGTAAGTGTAAAGTAGTAACTTTTTCAAGGAAAACCAACCCCATGGTATATAATTATACAATGATCGAACATGTTCTGGAGCGCAGTGAAACTGTGAAAGACTTAGGTATCTACTTTGATCAACATCTAACCTTTAATGAGCATATCAATCAAATCATTTCAAGCTCTTACCGAACCTATAGCTTCGTTATCAGGAATTGTAAATCTTTTGACGTTTTGACTTTGCAGACATTATACTTTAGCTTGGTTAGGTCTAAGCTTGAATATGGATCTTTGATATGGAGTCCGATTTACAAGCAGTATATTGATGTTGTTGATAAACTTCAAAAGAAATTTTTAAAATTTTCATGTTTTAAGATCGATGGCATATATCCTACTAGAGGTACAGAATACAACATCCTTCTTCATAAATTTGGCATTCAATCCTTAGAACAACGGCGTCATCAATCAGCAGTTATAGTTTTATATAAATTACTGTATAATCTAATAGACTGCCCTACAATACTTTCACAAATACAGTTTCTGGTACCACGACTAACATCAAGGTATAATGTTCCTTTTTTATTTATGTCAAAGAGCTCAAACAAACTTATTGTCGAAAGCGCCTGTCAACATGATGTGTGTGAATGCGAATAAAATAGCCGATGTATGTGACATATTCTTATGTAGCATAGGTGAATTGAAGTGCAAATTGCGTGCTCACTTTTGATTTATCTTACGTTTCTTATTTTTAAGCTGTAGCTATATTTATTTTTTGTTATTGATACATGAATTATTATTCTTCACAAGCTACCTCATGGTGATTTTGTTTTTTTTATAGTAGTTTGCTCTGTAAATGGTGTTAAACTGTTGGGCAATAAACGCTTATTATTATTATTATTATTATTATAAATGAACACTCCGAATTTTGTTGCTTTTAACAGTTTATAATAGAGATCGCAGATACGCAAGCGACTTTGCAAATTTTCTTCAGGTTAGTTTTGTCTCTGATCTGTGAAGTTTCAGAAGCAAAATGTTAACTTTTGTCTTCCTTTATTTTAATCTAACAAAACTCCATAAATACAGGCGAAATAAAAAAATAATAGACGGTTAGGACCTCCGTTGCTTTCAGCGAAAAACTGGCACCACAAATACGTGATCTATATAGGGTGTCCTGAAAGTTAGGACTTTCTTTTTCAGAGTCAACTACGATTTTAATACCAAAACTAATTTGCTACATAACAACACCAAAAACGTTAAAATAAGTTAAAGAAAAATAACCTGTCAAATGCTTTGTCTATGAACACTGCTTGAAGTTGCCGTTGTTTGATTCAGAAACACGAGTTTGTTTACCTCTTGCTAAAATTTCAACATGTGGGGCTGTCTAGGTCTTCAACTGTATTCAACCTTTTTACGATATGAACAAGCATATGCATATCTGATGGAAAGAAACATCGAAGGCGACGGCGACGTTCTGAGTACACTGGCGGAATATCAATAGTATCTATGACATCTTGAATCAAATCGATAACTACGTTATTGCTTAAGTCTTAATACAACTTCATACGTTTTAACGTTGAAGGGGAGCTTAAAGCTTTGGTGTATATGTTACTTACGCATAACTTCTATTTTAATTTGTATTTATTAGAAGCGTACGAAGCACGACGCACTACCCTAATAACAAACAACATCCTCAAGACGTCCCTTCTATGATCGCACGATGGCCGGATATTCGGTAAGATAGACGTCTCTGGAAAGCATTCAGCTGGATGTCATTCAGCAGTATCTGAAACGGGTAGACCTGGAACATCCAAGGGCTTCATTAAAACGATACCGGGTTTTGAAGTTTAAAAATAAGAAATATATTTAAAACCTTCCACTGAAATGAACTAAATTATGGTGTGTGGATTTATCTAAGTATAGTCCACATTCAAAAGTCTTTACTTAAAAATAACGTGCACCAGTGGCGAAGATACAGAGGACTAGTGGCATTATTTCTCCAAATAAAAATAGTACGCCACTCGTGTTTTTTCCTAGAGAGCATTGTTTTCATAAAAATAAAAAAAACAAATTGTATAATCAGACCCTTATTTCAATAAATGTTCAAAAAGACCATGATTCTGATGGACACAAGCGCGGCATCTTTTTAATGAAGAAAAACGTGTTTTCCAAAATTTGTTGTAGCTTGAAACCGTGAAAAAATTAGAATGCTGTTACCAAACTTTAAACATCTAACAGGATTACTGACTGAGAAATCTTTAAAAACATTATATTTTGCACTTGTTTAGTCTCATTTAAACTATGGTATCATTGGATGGAGAGCTGTGGCCTCAAGTCACCTCAGAAATCTCGAATGCGTACAAAAATACATACTTAAACTGATATACAAAAAAACAAAGACATATCCTTCCAACGAGTTGTTTGCTGAGGCTAATGTTTTTGACGTCAGACAGTTATACATGTACAATCTCATTACTTTTCAGTACAAAAGTCGGTCCTCATTGAAGCAAATGGAACACTGCTATGGCACCCGTCAGAAAATGCTGTCTCAGAATGTAGTCCCAAAGCCCGAGAAAACACTCATACAAAGGTCCTGGATTATTCTCTGTCCAAGAATTTTCAATACTATCCCAGTGTCTTACAAAAAACTAAATAAATTAAACTCATTTAAAAAACAAATAAAAGCCTGGCTGCACGTGGTCCCAAGAGTTAAAATCCATATGTACATAGAAGGCACGAGCTATACATTCTAAGTTGTGGGTCATTCTGAGATGAAATTTTCCATTTCCTAACCAGTACTTTTTAAGCCTTCATATATTATACTTAGTGTAGATCTGTTTAGCCTTAGCGGTCTGTGATTTGACCGAAAAAAATAGTTATAGATAGATCAGCCGCTGGTTTAGTTAAGTCATTAAGCCTTAGCGGCCCATCTTAAATTATCTGTAGTGTTGTATTTCAAAATCCTTGAGCTTAGTTTTGGTCCAGTTGGATGTAATGGCCACGCACAGGTTATCCTTTAGTGGTTAGTACTTCTTCTGATATACCATATTCTATGACTACAATCCATACTTCACTTACATATAAGGAATTTCACTCAAATCCATATACATCACTCATTTGTTAATTAGAATAAACAAAAGGATTTTATTGTGTTACGTCATCCTTAGTATATAAGTATTTTCTGTTTTCCTTTACCCGCGCACAAGGGCCATCCTTCTGCGGGCTCTTCATTTATTTGTCCTCTATAAAATTCTGTGTAATGGTTGTGTATTTTGGAGACAAATCAATATTACTATTACTATTTGAAGAAACCGTTATCTATTCTTTCTTGTAACTAATCAACAGTTTTAATTTGTTC